CTTGGATGGAAATCCAGCAACCAACCTAACACAGGGTCACAGGCCAAGGCCACAGCATAACTCCTGGGGCATTAGGTTGGAAATGGCTGGGGAAAAAGTGTGTCTCCCTGAGGATGGCAACATAAAGGCTGGGCTCAGGGGTCTATCAGGGCTCAAGAGCCTGGGGTCCAAGACTGTACTGTTGTGTATATGTGTGTGACTCTCCGGGCTCCTACAGCTGGAGGATGAGCTGGCAGCCATGCAGAAGAAGCTGAAAGGGACAGAGGATGAGCTGGACAAGTATTCTGAGGCTTTGAAGGATGCCCAGGAGAAGCTGGAGCTGGCTGAGAAGAAGGCAGCTGATGTGAGTATTAGAGAGATGGGCCTAGGTTTAATCCACACATATAGATCTTGATGTTAATATGTGACTAAATTCCAAACACACTTTGTCATATGCATACTTGTGGGTCCACAGAGAGATATACATACTCCCATACATCTCTGCATCTAACCACATACTGGTATACTCTTGGAATGACATATATTTTCTTCCTTAAAGACACGTAGAAGTCTCATCTTTTTGTCCCACCCCCAGCCTAGGAATTTAATTATCTTTCCCAAGAACTGGACAAAAGGAGAAGACTCCAAATCCAGGCTGCTATCCCTTATCCCACCCCTCCCCCATGACACATTCTTAGCTTTTGTGTCCAAGGCTTGGCATGTAGATATGTGTATTAATAGGGAATCTCTCATCTCCCAACTACCCAACAAAGCCAGCTTGGATTTCACAGCAGGACAAAGGCGGTCTCATTGACCCTGGCCCTGTATGGGTTTATTTATCTTGGCCAATCTGGGCGTCTGATCTCAAGTCACAGAGATGCCATACAAAGCACTGCTCCTAGGACATCAGGGAGGTCCTTAGGGTGAAAGACTATAATAGAAACTAAGAAGGAATCTTAGAGGGCAAAAGTGTCACCACCAGATCTTACTCGATGACCATGAGTCAATTACTCAGCTTCTCTAGGGCTGAATTTTCCCACATCAAATATGAGATAAATCCTCTTTTCCACTTCATGTTATCCCCCAATCACCTAATAATACTCTTCATTTTCAACCTTGAAGTTTGTCACAAAGGTAACTGAGAGACCAGATAGGGAAGTTTTCTGGGAGAAAACTACCATAGGAATCTTAACAGGGACAGAAGAATGTCCCAGTATTGATGGAGATACAGTTAACGCTCAGCAAACTGAGTTAATAGGAAAATAAGAGCATATGTTACTTAAAAATACACGTGGTTTTGGAAGATAGCTAGGAGGAAAGAATGGGCCATTCACAAATACTCAAGCTTTTGCCATTAGGTTTCTGTCTCCTCTCTGGCTTTCTGTCACTTTCAATGGCCCTGGGAAATGGTAAGGGTGAATGTGTGATGCCAGAGATTAGAGACAGAAAGCGGTAATATACTTTATATGGACTCAGAGTTTCCAAATGTTTAGGCCACTGCAAACTATTAATTCTCCCTTCTTGGAAAACTGCAAAAAGCATGGATTACTCCAACGGCTTTGGGCGAGTACTTGACGGCCCACTGGAGTTGCCCTATTTGAGGTTCTGTGTATGCATGTTTAGATCTCTGGTTCCAGTAAACGGGCACAGGGAGAGTTTTCACAAACTGGTACAATAAACTGGCATATGGATACAAGTTTTCACAAACTGGTATAATAAACCGGCATAAGGAGAGAAGTTTTCACACACTGGTACAATTTCAGGTTAATAACATTTTTGTGAGATGTTGGGTAATAATTCTCTGGGACAGTCCTTATGCTGAAGCAGCTAGTATGTGGGCTTGAGGGAGTGTTTCCAGGGGCAATGAAAAGAACAGAAAGTTTAACCTGAGATCTTAGGAGAGGATGAGTGACATAGAGGCCCTCGACAATACGTGAATATCATGGGGAAGATAAAGGACTTTCCTGGGGATGAATTCTGTCCCTCCTGCTCCGTTTCCCACACGTACACACATATCACCCCCAACCTAGACAGGGTCCTTGTTGTCGTTGTTGTCATTTAGGCGGCTCTGACTCATGGTGATCTTATGTGTAACCGAGGTCTACTGAGTATATTCATTTGAACGAAGCAGCCTCACATTTATACAGGAATCCCCCCAAAACCTTTCGACATGTAAAATGTGGGTACAAAACTCATTCGACCTCTCCCCACTTACTAGCTATTCCAACAAGTAAGTATCACACACTTTGAGATGTAAGAGAAGAACAGAAGAGGAAGGTTGTAGGCAGGAGGCAGAAGTCTTGCAGGGTAGGTTGAGAAGGAAGCAGGAAGAAAAGGCATCTTTCCTCAAAACTGGGGTCAGCAAACTAGCAACTGTAGGTTAAATCCAACTGCAGCCGGGTTTTATAAATAAGGGTTTATTGGGACCCAGCCATGCTCGTTCATATACAAATAAATCATGTCTGCTGGTAGCTTTCTCCCTACAATGGGAGTACTTGCCCCAGAGACCCAACGGCCCACGAAGTCGAAAATATTTACTATTGGACCCTTTACAGAAAAATTTGCCAACCTCTGCCTTAAAGGGTTAAAGTAGGAAAGTGAGCTTTTCATGGGAGTTGGGAGAAGCTGATGAATAAGGAAGAGGCAACAAGGTTTAAAGTCAATTACTCAGCTCCTCTAGGGCTGAATTTTCCCATTTGAAATCCTCTTTTTCCACTTCATATTATCTTCCAATCACTAATTCTCTTCATTTTCAACCTTGACATTTGCCACAAAGATAACTGAGAGACTAGGCAGAAAAGGGACAGAGTCAGCAGCAGCATAATATATATATATATATATATATACCTTTTGGAAGCAGATACTCTGTCCAATACAAAAGAAGTCAACAGCTCAGCTTCTGCCCTTGAGATTAATAAATAAGTAATCAGAGCATATTACCTTAACGTAGATGGAAGGGGAAGGGAAGGAGGAGGGAGTTAATAACTACATGTTTACACAGGAGTTCTGGTTATCTGGGAAGCCTTTCTGGAAAGTGTAAGATTTGCTAGAACTGTTTGAACAAAGAAAGGGCAAGGGTGTGGTAAGGTTAGTCCAAACTTTGTTTTTTGCCTCCTCAAGTTTAACATCTTTTTAATTCAAGACGAAATCAGCAGTTTTGTAGCGAGAAACAAGGGGAAAGAGGAATGCAATAATTAGGACATAAAGTCACAGCCCCCTTTTTTAGGGATAGGAAGTGAGAGGGGTGGGGAGAGGACCGGCAGGGAGGGACATTTACACCTATTGGTATATTGTTGTATTATTGGTCACAGGGAAACAATAGCACTGGGCCCCTTGCTGCCCATTCATCATGCTTTTAAAGGCTATCAGGAATCAGCCCACCTGCTTCTCTGGATCAAGAAATTATCTGTTCAAATCTACCAGCCTCAGGAGTGCAGTGAAGTTCTCCACACTCCTTTGGTTTATCTAGGACAAGGTCTTCTGCTGCTTCTTCCTAAGGCACAGGGTGGTACAATACTGCCCCCTGATGATCAGCACCCAGATGACAAAGTCTCACTTCTGCCACCACGGTCCCTCCAATCAGACTTCTCCCGAGCAAGTTGGAATCATTCTTAGGCCATCACATAGAGTTTATTGAGGCTCAGAACTCTGCTGTTCCTTCTTAGTTCCTGGGTGGAATATCGAAGTGTACAGGTTACCCTACTGAGCAAATTACTTACGGTCTGTCTGGGTCGTTCCCTTTGAATAGTCTCATTACTCAGCATTTCCAAGAGGAGATAGAAGACAGAGCCTCAGGAAGAAGTTTTCTCAGAACAAGGCATTGAGGCCGGCATCTATATTTCAGGGGTTAGTCTGAATTCTAAGTGTTGCTCCACACCCTAATTCTCTAGGGGGAAAAAGAGTTGCACAGAAGAAAGAGTTATCATTATTATTTACTGGGGAAGTAACAGGAATACAACAAAATAGGAGGGAAGATAGTACAATTCTCAAGTCTCTTTACTATGTATTTCCAGAAGTCCTGCATGAAGTGCCTGTAGAGACAGTTTCTAACTCATACATAGCTCCTTGCAGTACTAGAAACAGAAGTGGCAGTGAAACTGGTGAAAGCTATAACAGAATAGAGGCTCGTTCTCACAGGACAGTTTCCCAGGCACTCATATCTTGCTCTTGCACCAAGGATCTGGTAACAGTGGGCAGTAACAGAGGATTCCTTCCTGATAGAATGAAGGTATATCTTCTCCTCTACAAATGAGATTGGAAGTGATGATTAATCACCAAGTCCTGAATCTTTCAAGGTTTGGAGAGCTGGCAGGTCCGTGAAGCGCTGGTGCATAGACTCTCAAAAGTAACAGGGAAAAAGACCAGTATCCTAAATGGAATACTGAAGTTCATAACTGATGCCAAATAGAATGAGAACTTTGCCAACTTGCCCGTTTCTTCCATCCCGATAGTTCCCTTCAATGATTTTCAGGAGATGGGAGAGAGCCTACCTGAGCCAACTTCGAGAGGAGGCTGCAGAGTGGGGATCTTTTCGAAGATGAGGCCCAGAAAGTCTCTGAGGTTTTTAGAACCTAGTTTTGGAGTCTATTGTGGGGTGGGCGGAAGTAGAGGCTTGTAGGATGTCTACATTGTGGAGAGGACACACGGAGCCCTAGCGGGTAAGTGGTAGCCAATCACCCTGGGGGAGTGAGGGATCCGCTGAGGGAGTGTAAGCCAGCGCAATTATTGCGAACAGGCCAACATTTATGGACAGCCTGCCTGGTCAGCGAGGCTAAACCACGACGCGCCTTCCGGTTGCCATAGTAGCCCTACCTCTTTCCAACACCGCCCGCGTTTCTCTGGCCCAAGGGGAAAGGGGAAAGGCCGGGAGTGGTCGCCTAGGGCGACTGAGCAGCCCCACCCCTATCTACGACGGCGGGTCTCACTCCAGTGTGCCGCCTTCCCGCCGGCCTGGGGGTGGGAGTGTGTGCGGCGGTTACGTCACATCCGGGAGGGTGGGTGAGTTCCGGTATTTCAGGGCGCAGCAGGCGGAAGTGGGAGTGAGAAGCGGCTGCTGCGCGGAGCGGAGGAGGCGAGAACCGTAGCGTGAGCAAAAGCTGGGTGGGCACCATGGCCGGGATCACCACCATCGAGGCGGTGAAGCGCAAGATCCAGGTTCTGCAGCAGCAGGCCGATGATGCCGAGGAGAGGGCCGAGCGCCTCCAGCGGGAAGTGGAGGGGGAAAGGCGGGCCCGGGAGCAGGTACGGAGAGGGCGAGGCGCATGAGGGAGGGCCGGCGCTGGAGCACCCGGGAGCTCGAATTGGGTCTCTTTTGCGATACAGCACCCTTCTGAGGGGGCCAGCAGGCTCAGAGATGAAGTTGAAACCCGGAGGTTGGGTGGGGCTTAGCTCCAGTAGGGCGGCAGACGGGCAAGGGGGGAACTGGGTTGCTCGGACGAGCAGGCTTGATCTTTGAAGGAACTGCTCTTCACAGAGCCTGGGGAGTGCTTTTCCTCTTTTCTCCCAGCTCATTCATTCAATTCCTCGGAGCCGGGCGCGGCCGGGGGAGGGGCTCAGCGGCCTCTCCCTTCCCCCACCACCCGATGAAGGGGGAGGACTTTGCTCTTGAGGTTTCCGGCCCAAGGGGTGGAGTGGGTGGGTACTTCTCTGGTTTGGGAGGGGCAGGGCCTAACCTACTGTGACAGGGTAGGGGGTGGGAACCACCGGAAAGCCCCCAGCCTGGTCTACTGGCAGCTTTTCCGCTCCCTCCTCCTGCTCAGGAAATGAGGCAGCAGTCGGCTGAGAGGAAGCGCGGTGCCCTCCCTGGAGGAGGTTGAGGCCGCGGCACCGCCTCCCATCCTCCAGCCTGGGGCTCTTTCCTCTTAGGGGGAACCCTTGCAACTGCCACACCCACTGTATCCGTCGGCGTGAGGCTGGAGGGGAAGAGGTGGTACTTTACTTCCTAGGTTAGTGCAAATGGAGGAGCCAACTTAACTTGTCTGGCCTTACCCATGATGACCTGGAAGGCAGGAGCTTCTGTCAGAGTTAGGCCTTTATTTCTGAAGTGTGATCAGTGCAAGCTGAACTGGTTAAGAACACTTCCTGCAAGCAGAGCTGATAAGCGTATGTGGCAGAGAATCAAATGAAGTGCTTTTCTCTGCCAAGGTTTCTGATTGACCTGGGCAGTGTGGTGGATGGAGACAGAATAATGAGGTCCGGGGGACCCCCGGTGATGTTCCTCTGGTACTTTCCCAATTATCCAGCACAGTGTCTTAAAAAAATTCACATTTCCGCAACTGAAAGTGGGGAAATGTTGGTGGAATGAGTGGTGATTCTTGAGATTGATTGAGACCCCTTTCTGTTTAGAAGTGGTCGACTAGTTTTAGTAACCCCTAAGATTTTGCAGGGCCTAGGGTGCAGTCTAGTGGGTGGAGCCGACCCGGGTGGAGGCTTTGGTTTTGGCGAATCTTGAGGCTGGAAAGGAAAGTAACTGTTTCTAAAATTCGGAAACCTAATGAAAGAACTCGTGTGGTTTATTGGTGTTCTTTGTTGTTCTCTGCCATGGTAAGTTTTTTTCTTTTTAGTTTCCCTGAGGAGTGGCTCAGAATTAATGTTCTTGAAGGGGAAGGTAGTGGAGTTCAGAAAAGGGTGGGAAACGGGGGGAACGCTGCTTACCAAGGACCAAGGGTAAGACTTAAAAATTGTTGGAATACTCACTTCTTTTTACAACTGGGCATGGAAATGCAGGGAGCTTGTTGTCTTCCTCAGTCACCTTTTCGTAGGTGGACTTTTCCCCTGCTCAGTATGCCAGCAACTTCTAATTATCCATTCAAGTGAGATGGGCTGGCAGGGTGACTTTATGATTAGGGACACTTTCCCATCCCCTTTGTTCTGGGAAACCATACAGCCTTAAAGGAGAAGACAGAGGATGGCTGAAGGAACTAGCCTACGTCGAGCTGCAGAGTCCGGCTCAGCATCTAAATATGGGCATCCTGGGAGTAGTTCTGGGATGGATGGTGATGTGAAAACTGCTGTCCCCCACCCAGCCCACCTCCCCGCCCAGGATTTGGTACTTTCTAGGAAAGTGGCTTCCTTTTTCCACCGTTGGTAACTCAGGTGACAGGCAGCAGAGCAAGCAGCTACACGTTTCTTCAGCTGCTCCTTTGCTGCCACATTTGTTTATGAAGCTGGGGCTAGTGAGGAAGTCCTCAAAATGGGGAAGTAGAGTAATTGTTGACTATTGCTGAAACCAGTGTCTTTTGCTCCCGGGCTTGAAGGATCCTAATCTTTTGGCTTTCTGCTCTAGTGAACTTTGATCCCCTCCTGCGGAGACACCTGTGGGAACGGAGGGGGTGCTTGGGCTGCCTGTTGGCTTCTTATGGCATCCTGGAATGTGGGGTTTGCAGCCAGAAGCTCAGCACGCTCACTCCCTGATGGTATCTCATGTGTTTGTTAGTGTGATTGTCACTTAGTTATTTTTCTGGTTGCTTTTTGTGAACATCCGAGCCACCCTTGTTGGGAAGCTAGAGGAGTCCACAGCTGAGACATTGGAGTTGTTCTAGTATCCATTTTTCTCTTCTGCTTTTGGCCTGGAGATTGACCTTTTATAAACACTTGTCAGATCCACTGTAGATTTTGCATTTCCTTTGCACCTCTTGCTAAACGTAACCAGCAAGCAGCATAATATTTAAATGTCTTTTCCTTATTTGTTTTTTAGAAGTACTGTTGAGGGAATGAGTGGGCTCTGGACAGCAGTTTTGATTCTGGCCTTAATCCCAAATTCCTAGTCTCTGGCAGGGGTTAGAATGTCTGATGATTGTGTGACTCGCTTATTTGTGGGGTCTGGTGGACAGAACGACTGCCTTTATCACCTTCCTTTGGTTTAGATTTGCTTTCCTGCTGATTGCCTGCCTCTTCCCCCCATACAAGCGTACACACTCGGGGGAGGGCAAGTAGCCCTTTGCTCTGAGTGTGTCTGCTTAGACTCCACCTTTGTTTACTCTGGAGCAGAGATAGCTCTATTCCCTTCCTTCCAACTTGCCTCTCCCCCCTGGTGAAATTTAAATTCCCCAAGGACACAGTATCTCCCTGGGTAGATACGTTTGTGAGCACAATGAACTGGAGCAGCCCTTCACTCACAGAGCCCAAGCCTAACTTTTCCATCGCTCTTTTCCGTTTCATCTGTGGCTTTTGTCTAAAAAGAGAAACCCCAGAGTGTCTGAATGCCAGGTTTAGGCTAATCCCTTCTGTCCTTGGCCCTGATCTGCCTCAGAGCACCAGTGCCCTGGCAGTTTCTTGCCTTAAGAGATGGGGTGTGCTTGGGGAATCTCTTTGGAATGGAAGATGGTAGCGTTTAAACAAAACTCATTTCATAACTGAAGCTGTTGTCGGCCATTTTCTATCGTGACTGAATTGTCACTATATCATCATTGTCCCTGACTGCCCCCCCCAGCCCCCCCCCCGTGAGATCTTTGCTTTCTGGGCAGTAGAGAATCCTATTATTACCTGAAGTGAAGAACCTCAGGGTATATCCTCCAAGTGGGCATAGGTGGGCGGGCTGAAAGGTCAAAACCACATTTGTTGTTGCTAGGTGCCCTTGAGTTAGTTCCTACTCATAGCGACCTATGTACAGCAGAAGGAGACACTGCCTGGTCCTGCGCCATCCTCACAATCGTTATGCTTGAGCCCATTTTTGCAGCCACTGTGTCAGTCCAGGTACCTTGGTGGCTCAGTGGTTAAGAGCTCTGCTGCTAACCAGAAGGTCGGCAGTTCAAATCCACCGGCTACTCCTTGGAAACTCTATGGGGCAGTTCTGCTCTGTCCTGTAGGGTCGCTACGAGTCTGAGTCGACTGCACGGCAACAGGTTTTCTGTGTGTGTCAATCCAAATCATTGAGGGTCTTCCTGTTTTTTGCTCACCCTCTACCACATCTAGGCATGCTAAACTTGGGTGGAATTGGAAAAGCTCCAACCTTAATGCTTCCCAGGGTCATGGGTGGTCTGGTCTGGAAAAGTTAGTCCCACTCCATCTCCTTGGTGCAGCTTTATTGACCTGAAAGGGACAGGCCTTGTGCATAGGTTCTGACCTGAAGGAAAAATAGGTGTCTTCCCTTACTCCTTTAAACAGAGTATCAGATCTTGTTTCGTTGTGAAGAGAACTGATCCTCTGTGGGAGGAGGAAAAAAAGAGAACAGCGACTGCCCCCCGCCCCCCCAACAGGGTCTCTGAAACTTTCGCTGGGCCCCCCATCTTGGGTTCTGCTTTTGATACAGGCTTGTTCATGTGCGCATGCTCCTGTGAGGGCACCCAGATGGGTGTTCTCCTCCTCCCTTCTCAGCCTTGCGAAGAATGCTATTGTAAATGCTGATTTGTGGGAGAAGCTGCCTGAGCCAGCTTGTTGTCATGGAAACTGTACACCCCGCCCCCATAGCCTGTTATCTTCTCCTCTGGTTTGGGTAACTGCTGGTGAGCTGGATGAGGACCTGCATTTCCTAAGCTTCCACCACATCTAGTTCCATTCTTCATTTTTCAGTTCTAGACCTGAGGGGGAGGGGAGGGGGTCATTGCCTGGCAGGGTTTCCGGTTCTTGCCTGATAGTCTGCCTTGCTCGTATGTAATCTTGACTGGTCAGACTTGCTGGGCTTGGGAGGTGAAGGATGTTGTCCTAGGACATCGATTTTCCTGGAAGAGACAGCACCAGGAATACTTGTCTTTGTGGTGTTTTGAATAGTGTCGAGACAAACGGGTTCTTATTAATTTTAGCGTTTCAGTTTATGTGGACTTTTCGGTTTTCCGATTCCTGTAGCCTGATGGTTAGATTATACCACCCCACCCCCCAGTCCCTTGACCCTTCCCCTGTTTGTATGTGGAAATTTTTGTGCCAAATAACCTGATTCTTAACAGGAGTCTTTTGGGCTGTATCTCTCCCCATAGGGGCTGGTGGCCCAGATTATTTCTGTAGCTGCCACCACCCCTGACTGCCAGGAGGAAATCAGGGCAATAGAATTCAGGCACAATCTGGGCTGTAGAAGAGAGATCGTGTTCGCCAGGCCCTTGGATAAGCATCTGAGCTGGGCGATGTGCAGGGCAGATTCAGTTCTTGTACGGTTGTGGCTGCCGGCACACCTGCCACCAGTGAAAGTGTGGGGATAAAAGGGTGCTCTTTGGAGAGAGGCTTGTCTACCATGAGAATTGATCAACGTGGGGGCCGCCGCCTCCTTTCCCTGTCTCTTAGTTCAGTGCCAGCGAGGAGCGTGGGGTTACCTGGACTCGAGCTGGTGCCTAATTGCACAGCAGAGCAGGGGGAGGATGGTCATAAGCTGTCCTGGAGGACGAAGCTAAGGGGGTGACTAGAGGAGCAGAAAGGAGACAGCTAGGAAACTGGGAGGAATGGCTGCGGGCATGGAGGAGACATTCCCTCTGCCCCCTTTTTTTTCTCTCATGTCATCACAGTGGATAATTTTAGCCAGAAGAATCTCCTCGTTGTCAGCTTAAAAAAACAGAAAAAAAAAATTTAGGTGCAAGTTGAAGGGATGGGGAGGTAGGTACCCCCAAGTTTCTATTCTTTGCTTTCCAGTATGGAAGGCTGTTCTGGAGGACACTCTTTCTTTGTCTAGTCATTCTCCAGGTATATTAGGTTAAGATGATCAGAGAGTTAACAACTTGGTTAAATAGCAAATAATAGATAATCCCAAGATTCCTTCTTTAAGAAACCTCATTTATTTTTCTGCTTTATGAGATACTTATAAGAAAGTTGTTGAAGGGTAAGACACACCTTCAAGCCAGACCTCAGACAGAAAGAACCCTTCACTAGCTACCTTTTCTGACCCCACTGTATTCAGGAATTTGAACTGAGCCCAGAAAGGGGGTGGTACTGTCACTGGACTGGACACAGGAACTAAGTTTTAGAGCATGCTTCCTGTGGAACGTATGGGAATTCATTGATGGGAAAGGGAGAAGATATATATGATCATGCCTGCTGGAGCTCATCTGAACCAGAGTTAAGGCAAGTTCTACCCTGCTAGACTCTGGCCTTTTCTTGGTAGTCAACTCTAACCTTCCTGTCTTAGTTCTACCTCTTTTCACCATGACTTCTGCTTCCCCTTCCCATTCTGTCATTCAAATGCAGGCTGAGGCTGAGGTGGCCTCCCTGAACCGCCGGATCCAGCTGGTTGAAGAGGAGCTGGACCGTGCTCAGGAGCGTCTGGCCACTGCCCTGCAAAAGCTGGAGGAGGCGGAGAAAGCTGCCGATGAGAGCGAGAGGTGTGTGGAGGGGCCTCAGAGTGTGGATTTCAAAAGAGGTTCACAAGGGCTCTGACCAAGATTTCCTTATGGACCTATGGTAACCTCTCTCTTACAGGCTCCTCTTTCCTTCTGTCCTGGATATTTTCTCCCCTTGAAGACAGACAGGAAGGGTTACCTAGACCCTGTGATCCTTTTGTAATTGGTGTTTTCTATAAATTGACGTAATGATCCTTGAATGGGGTCACTAGAATGGATGCCACTTAGTAGCTCATAAACTTCCTTTTGTGAGATTAGTCTCCCTAAAGCAGTGGTTCTCAAAGCGAGCTCCTAAACCAGCAGCATCAAGCATCAGCAACGCTTGGGAGCTTAACAGAAATGCAAATTCTCTGCTCCCAACCCTGATCTAAACCAAAAAAAAAAACCCCAAACCTATTGGTGTTGAGTCGATTCTGACTCAAGAGACCCTATGGGACAGAGTAGAACTGCCCCATAGGGTTTCCAGGGAGCACCTGGTAGATTCGAACTGCCAACCTTTTGGTTAGCAGCCAAAGCTCTTAACCACCATACCACCAGCATTTCCATCCCTGATCTACTGAAACAGAAATTCTGGAGGTGGAGCCCAGCAATCTGTTTTAACAAGCCCTGTCAACTCTGGCTCTATTATTAGGATCACTTTTGTGGTGGGCGGCTTTGAAAATATCTGGATGCTTGGATCCCACCTCAGTTCAATGAAGTTAGAATCAGTTGTGATAGGGGCCTGGGCATTGATGTTTTTAAAGTTCTGTTGTTAATGCATGGCTGGGAATGAGAACTAGAGCCCTTAAACCAAATCACAGGTCATCTTTGTGGAAATAAACGATTGACTCCTTGCCACATGTGAGTTAAGCTAGAACAAAGGTATGTAACTACTTGCATGGGATTGAACTAAGGCCTTTCAGAGTTTAAAAATGCCCCGCTGGGAGCACATTAACACAGCACAGCTGTGAAAATGAATACCAAGTTATAGAAAGTGAGGAAAAAAAGTTGAATGGTGTAGGGATGAGGGGATTGGAGGTTTTGCTTGTATCGATATAAAACATTTCTGGATGGAATATGAAGTAAGAGGTTACCTCTAATGAGTAGGACTTGAAGTGGGAAGACTTACTTTTTGCTTTGTGCCCTTAGACCATAGACTTGGATTTCTTTTTCATAAGCATGTATTATTTTTATAAAAATTTATAGACCTATAGTAACGTCTCTCTTAAAGGATCTTCTTTGCTTCTGTTCTGGATATTCTTTTCCCTTAAAGACAGACAGGAAATGTTACCTAGACCCTGTGACCTTTTTGTAATTGATGTTTTCTATAAACTGACCAATTTAAAAAGGGAAAGTAATTTTAAACAAAGTAAGCTAAGGTTGGGAGGTGATGCAGTGGGATTTCCTTCTGAGTTGCAAGCAGAGAGGACCAGACTTAAAGGATCCAACCTGAGTCCTTGGGACGGAGCTGATGACAGACTCCTCAGGCTGTCAGGACCATATTTGTCCTTCATGTTTCTGCAGAGGTATGAAGGTTATTGAAAACCGAGCCTTAAAAGATGAAGAAAAGATGGAACTACAGGAAATCCAACTCAAAGAAGCTAAGCATATTGCAGAAGAGGCAGATCGGAAGTACGAAGAGGTAAGGTCCCTTCTGCCTGTCCCTCTTTCTTCAGTGATGCCCGGCTTCTGCAAAGAGTCATTCATAAGAGAGAAATAACACCTTCTTTACCTCACTGAGCTGCAGCCTGGGTCTTTTTCGGTAGGTGGCTCGTAAGTTGGTGATTATTGAAGGGGACTTGGAACGCACAGAGGAGCGAGCTGAGCTGGCAGAGTCGTGAGTATCTTGCTCCCCATATCTATCACACCACTCTGTCCCTTCCCCTTTGGCTTGGGCAGTAATGTGAATAAACCGGCATTCCTTCAACCTTGTTACGTGAGGCCTAGCAGGTGGGAGTATGTTAGTGCTTTTGTAGACTCTACAAATGCCTCTGGGTTCTCCTGGTGATGAATGAGGCTTCCAATTTTTACAAATTGAGGGGAGATAAAGACTAATAGATGGGGATCCATTAACTGGAAGAGCCTCTTGGGGCCTTCTCCCAGGTGTCTGTTTTTCCTTGAGGCATTGAAGTAGCTCTGACTTAAGATCCGGTCTCTGTACCACTTTGCCTACCTGCTGGGGAACTTCAGGGCAGGGGCAGGCATTAACCGCCATGCTGTTGGCACCTCCTGGGCCTTGTATAACAAAGTCAGTGCTGGTGCTGATGCATATGTATTTGTGCTTCCCTTGCATCCCCCTGTCCCAGACATGACATACCATGTCCATGGTAGTCTTGTCTCTCCATTTTTTGAGTTTTGTAATTTTTTTTTTTTCCCCCGTTTTGCTGCTTGTTTTCTCGCTATGTTCTTTGTGACCTTTTTCCCTCCCCACAACCTGGCTTGCGCCATCCCCGTGACTGTCACTAATAGCCGTTGCCGAGAGATGGATGAGCAGATCAGACTGATGGACCAGAGCCTGAAGTGTCTGAGTGCTGCTGAAGAAAAGGTACTAACCATTAAACCCACAGAGAGGTTACATGTACGGTGTGGTTTTGTTTGGTTTGTTTTTATTTTGCAGCTGCGTCCCCTCCACTGATTGGTTTGTGGTGTGCGTTCTCATCTCTTCATGGAATGCTCCATTCTCTTCCACTTACTTGGCATTTTTTCATCTCTTTTTTTCCCAGTTGCTTCACTGCCTTTCCACAGGGTCTCTCCTTCCCTTGGGTGATTTGGGGGACTGTTTTTGAGTTGGGCACCCATTCCCCCCTCCCCTCCAGGCAGCGGTTCTGCCTCGTTCCTGGTAGTGACTTCTGTGAAGTGTGCTTCCTTTATTGGTATCCAGACACTCTGCATCCTTGCCCTGGAGGGTCCAGCTCCTCACATGCTCTGTGGTAGAGGGAGGAGGGTTGTTGCTTGCTCAGATTACCTGGGAACTCCTCTTCCCCAGGATGCCTTGCAACTCTCTCTACATATAGGTTCAATTCACGTCTATATGTGTCTCTCTCTCCCTTTTTTTATTCTCTTCCTTTTCCCCTTTCCTCTCCTGTGATACTTAAAACATTCACAGTAAGTGTTCTGAGCTGGAGGAAGAGCTGAAGAATGTCACCAACAACCTCAAGTCTCTTGAGGCTCAGGCGGAGAAGGTAGGGGCTAGTTTGTGAAAGTGACAGGCTTTGGGGCCGGGGCCCAGCCCTGCCCTTGATGAAAGGCTGGAGGTGCCCATTCCTTGAATAATCCAGTGAGAAGTATTGTGCTCTCTTCCTAGTGCCTTCCCTCTATCCAGCTTCTGGGTTTAATCCCAATTGTTGTGACCTTGGGTTGCTTGAGTTGAGATAGCTTCATGGTCTCGGGTGACTGGAGTCGAGTTCTCCTCATACTGACGCAGCTACACTGAAGACAGTGATCACGGGCCCTAATGGGCTTTCTAGCAGACAGATGGGAGCGGCAAGGGGAACCGGGCCTGAGACCTAACGAGCGGTCAGGGGAGATGACTTCTCTTGCTCCTTATGGAACTGTTGCAGCCATGTGGCCTTGGGATGTCACTGCTCCTGTTCATTAAGCAGGAGGAACGAAAAACAGCTCCCTGGGTAGTTTTGACTTAGATCAAAGCTTAGATCCATTTTAAAAATTAAGGGATTCTGATCCGAGAGTATCATGGCCCTAAGTCCATAGATTTGTGGATTTTAAAGACCTGTTGTGCAGGAATGGGCCTTGCTCTTTCTAATGGACCATTCAGTACATTAAGTATTAAATCCTAGAGGATATTTGATGTAAGAACAAATGTGAGTTGGGATGGGGGGGTATTGTCAGTGTAATTTGTCCTCTGAAATTGTTATTCTACTTCTCTTACAGTACTCTCAAAAAGAAGACAAATATGAGGAAGAGATAAAGATTCTTAGTGATAAACTCAAGGAGGTGAGCTGAGGGGTTCTACGGAAGGACCCAAAACATTTAGAGGTGGAGATAAGGCATTAATGTGGATTTAGACTGGCTGGCTTTGGTTCTGAAAAGTCTAGAAGGTGGAAGAAATAGAGATCCTTCTCTTGCCTTGTCCATCTCTGATTCTAACTGTTTTCATATTTCCCCAGGCAGAGACCCGCGCTGAATTTGCTGAGAGATCGGTAGCCAAGCTGGAAAAGACAATTGACGATTTGGAAGGTATGGAACCTAGGAGAGGGATTAAAATAGAGGCATATGAAAGAAGACCTTGCCCAGTGACCATTAAGCTCTTTTCCTGGACACCAAAGGGAGGTGGTAGTGACTTGGCACGTATCCTGTGCCCTGTCCTCTGCCACAGCTAGGTGAAGTGGGTCAAACCCTAGAATTGGATTTTTACGTTTAATCTTTTCCTTTCAAAAGACTTCACTTTATGCTTTGAAATATGCCTCCTTCCCTTTGAGAAGACTGGTAATTGGTGCATTTACCTCCAATTTAATAGTCTTAAATCTTTAGCCTGTGGGTTGAATTGGAAACCATGTTTTTAAAAGGCAATAATGACGCATGTCAGCCTGTGACTGCCCTTGTCAATCTGGTTCACCATTCAAGTTGTGGGGACCTCCCCAAGACAGGAAGCTGTGCAGTGACTATCTCAGAGCTGACCATACCAGGGGCTTTCTGAATACTTCCTGTCCCCACGATTTGGCAACTGCATTCACCCTGACAAGGGAAAGTGTACTTGGCTTTGAGAACACTTGAGACTTGCTTCTTTGGTACACTCTGGATAGTCTTACTTTGGGGGAATTTGGAGAGGCGGCTCTCCACAGGCTGGGGAGGCAACCCGTGGAACAAAGGGGTCAAGAGTAATGGTCACACCTGGTAGGCAGAGAACCATCTGAACGTTGATGTGTACTTTTTCCCTTGTTTGTTTTCATTAAATAAAGCATTCTCATCGTTAGGAGGTGAGTTAATTGGGTGGCAGTGGCATCCTCCTGAGTGTATTTGGTAACGTATGACTTTCCAGTCATGACCGTTCTCAGGTTCCCAGCCCTTGCTGCAGTCAGATAGAGGTATCAGGAAGTCCAGTTGGTCCTAGGGGACAGTGGATGTGAAAGTGGCCGGTCACGGCTGCCAGTATAGACTTCTCCTAACTGTGGTACTGAGACCCAAGGTCACACCCTTCCTAGTTTCTAACGATTCCCTCTCTCCATCTGCTTCTGGTATCTCTTACTGTGCCCCCTCGCTCCTCCCTGTGGTTCCTGTGCCTGTCCAGATGAACTCTATGCCCAGAAACTGAAGTACAAGGCCATTAGCGAGGAGCTGGACCACGCCCTCAATGACATGACCTCTATGTAACTATCTGACAGGAGAGTGGGGCTGGGCTCTTGGCTGGTGGATGGGTGGGGGGACAGGCTGCCCAGTGTGCTTTGGTTTTGTCCTCTGGAAACTGGAATCTCCACCTTTATCTTCCAAATATTGGTGCTGGTTACTTGTTTGGCAAAAGCTGGGGAGGCGTTTATTACTGGATCTGTGGTAGAACCCTGATCCATATAAGGTAAATACTTTTCTATTCATAGTCCCTTCCTTATACCATGATTTTTCTGTTTATTTTTCGGAAGAGACAAAGTAAATAGGGCCCAGAGAGCCAGTGACTTGGGCCGTAACATATAAAAATTTCAGACCTCCTGGGTGTTTCATGCCCTGATATTAAAGTTCAGGGGAAACGTCCAGGATAGGAACTACCAAATTCACCTAAGAATCACGCTGAGCCCCAGAAGTGAGCCAGCTAGTAAACAGCACTACAGAGAGTTGGGGCTTCATCCGTTTGCTGTGGATCCCTGACCCTTGATGCTAATCTGCCTCTTTGTATCTTTCCCACTAACCCTGAAAAGAAGCCACATGTCTCCGGCTGTGGTGTCTGGCTCTTTTCTTATGATTCCTGCTGCCTCCTCTTCCTTTCTCCCAAATATGCTTCTGGATTGATGCTAGTCCTTCTCACCTAGAGTCTCCTTCTTACTTTTTCATACAGATAACTATCGCTGTTTCTGCCCTGTTCTGGATCTGCCCCCTTTCCTCGGGGGACCCAACGCCCCATTCTCACTCTGGATTCCATTTGGGTCAGCCTGGCTGGTCCCCAAGGCATTAGAATGGGCTGGGGGGCACAAAGCAACCTATGTGTTCTCTTCCATCCCCACCCTAAATTAAAATGTTAAGCTGCTGGAAGCCTCCTGCCACCCTGCATTTGTGTCATTGACAGAGCTGCTGCTGTCCCTGAGAAGGAGCCTTGGGGATGTGGGGACCAGCCATTGTAGTGTTCCCTCCTCTGACTTATGTGCTCAAAGCCACCTTTGTGTGTGTCTGTTCTTTCCTGACATTTCAGCTCAGCTCATCTGAGTCTATCAGAATGGTGGACTATCAGAAGTTCCTTAGGTTAGGCCTCTAGTCCTACTCCTCAGTCTGAACGAGATCATCTGAGTGCTTTACTTCCAGCTTCTTAAACCATCCTGCGTGTAAGGTTTCTGTCCTCCTTTGAAATAGTAAGATTGGGAGACCATAGAAGTGCCTCCCAATGCTTCCTCTCCTCTTCGACCAGTGATTCAGATGGTATATCCACAGAGCACCCAGGGGACCCAAATACGTTACCACTAGAACTGACTAAATACATCATCCCAGAACACAGGAAAAAAACGGAATCGGTAGAATTTTTAACAGTTTTATGTTTTCTTCTTTAAGTCTTTCTTACATATTTGGAGCTTGTTAGCATTTGTCTGCTAGTGCATGCTAGTGGGCCATAAAACAAGTAATAAATGGGTATTATTGGGAAAACTAAACCAATCATACATATTTCAAGTTATCCGAACATGGGGGTGTATTACATATATAAATACATATGGTAAATGCCAGTAAAATTGTTCCCGGTTCATATTGTGGAATTAAGTATCAACATTTCGGAAGCCCCCTATTCCAATTACCCAGCAAAGATGGTTCAGTCTGGATAGTGGAACTGTCACTTGGAGTTATCTAAGTACCTAAGTGTTACCCACTTAGTACTTGTGTTTCTCAGCAGAGTATGTATTTAAAACTTGCTTTTCTTTTACCTAGATACAGCTAGGTGCAGAAGTTTTGCCAAATCTTAAAATTTTAGATCTCATATCAAATTCAGATTTCCATTATATCACATAGCCTTTGAGATTAAGGTACAGATTCATGTATTCAGTTGACATTTATTGGTATTTACTAGGCATAGGGCATCAAAGCTTGGAGAGGAGCAATCAAAGATGGAGACACACCCCTACTCTCGGGATACTCAGAGTCTAGCAGGGCAGAGAACATGCATAAAGCTAAAGCTACTGTGTCATGAGTGCCACAAGAGGGGAGGGGAGATTGATTCCACTGGGGAAGGTTAGGAAGGACTCATGGAAAAGGTACGTAATAGGTACATAATAAACATGTGAAAAGTTGCCTCTTCATCTTCATTGGTACCAAAAGATTGGATTTCTAACAAGCAGAGCTTGGTTGAGGGATAGTGGATATGAGCATCCTAGTCAAAGAGAAGAGAAAGAATAGAGGCATGGAGAGGGAAGGACACAGCGGCTATCAAGATAGATTTAGATGGAGTTGGGGCTGGGGGTGTGTGCTGAAATTGGGCTGGAGAGTTTTAAATTTTATTTATGGTAGGTGATATGCATGCCGCTGGAGATTTTGAGTAGGTAACATTATGGTCTGAGTAGCATATAAACCCAGCAAACCAAATCCATTGCCATCGAGTTGGTTCTGACTCATAGCGACGCTGTAGGGACAAAGTGGAACTGCCCCATAGGATTTCCAAGGAGCGGCTGGTGGTTTTGAACTGCCCACCTTTTGGTTAGCAGCCGAAAGCTTATCCACTACGCCACCAGGGCTCCAAGTAGCGTGTAAGGAGTTAATTTGGCAGCTGAGTTAAGAACGTATCGGAAGGGGAGAACTTCATCATCAGTTAAGATTCCCAAATTTCAGTCATTTTGGGTACTATTTTTCATGGCTGTTTCCATATTCGTGTGCTGCCTATGTTATTGTTTTTCTTCAAATTTACTCTTGTTTTTAAATTTATTTATTCTTACTCTAAGGAATTCTATCATGAAATCAAAGGTTTGATGCGCTGGTATTTTTTTCCCCCTAATGCACATTAAATTAAATACAGCTAGTTCACAAATGTATACTACCTGAAATTTCACATACCCCTGGCAGTGAATATGCCACACTTCGAGAAACGCTAAGTTAGGTTACAGCAGTGTCGGGGTCTGAACTAGAGTAACGGTAGTAGCAAGATGGCACTGAAGAGGGAATTTTGAAGGGCTTGGTCACTAGATGTAAGGAACAAATGTCAAGGATAACTGATTTTTAAGCCAAGGAAAATGGTGATATCATAGATGTAGGGAACTCAGCGTGGTCCTGGGTTGGGAAGGCAGGGGAAGGTAGAGAAGAACATAAATCTGAAAAATTAGCAGGTATCCAGGTGAACCAAAAAAAATACTGGGGTTTGAGGAGGAGGAAGGGTTGATGTAAGAAAGATTTGGGAATCCACAAAGGTGGCAGGCAGTTTTGTCTACAGAAGTTCATGAAGAATCCTAAAGCACAAGTGTAAATATAAATGAAAAAGAAAAGAAGTAAGCCAGGAGGAAATCAGTGCGAGGGGGAAGCCAAATGGAACTGGTTGGAGAGATAGAAGAAGAATGAGTTATTTGGGTATTTTTAGAAGTTAAGGGCTGGATGATTTCCAGTGGTTCTCAAAGGCAACAGACAAGTGCAGAAGGAAGATAAGACGGGACATTCATTGATACTTTAGTAATTTGAGAGTGCATTTTGAGCATCAAGGTGAAGGCAGGGAGCCATATTTCAGTGGATGGAAGACCTGATGGAAAGAAAATAAAGACAATAAGTACAGCCTTCTAGAGAAATGCTGTCCAATAGAACTTTTGGCAGTGAGGGAAATGTTCCTTAACCGTGCCATCCAGTACAGTAGCCACTAGCCACATGGGGCTGTTGACCATTCAAAATGTGGGTAGCGTAGCTGAATTTCTAACTTTATTTAATTTAAATATCTGCCTGTAGCTAGTGGCTGCTGTATTGGATAGTGCAGTTTCAGATGTTTAATATTTGGGTAGAAGGAGTTGTCCCTGGCACAGAGAAAGGCTTCTTAAAAAGGCAAGAAGTATGAGAGGATGGAGAGAGATTGGGAGAAGGGTGGAGCTCCTATCTTTCCTCATGGGCATGACTAGAATGAACAGGGATAGGGATAGGCAAGCCAGAGGAGCAGTAAAATGGGAACTACTCTGTGTCATGCTAAACTCTTTCATTGATGCCCTAGATCTTTCCAGAAGCCACTCTGTGTTACTTGAGCCTTGGCTAGCTCTGTGGATAGGGTCAAGCATCCTTAGTAATCTCAGGGCAAGCACCTGACTTCCTAGGTCAAGACTGGTGTGTTCGGTTCCATTTTTCCCTTCCTTGTTACCATTGTTGGGATGGCGAACAAAACATGGTTGGACCCTGTGTTATCTAATGGTGAAACTGACAGCCTTAGATGAGCCCCACCCAGATCTTTCCTTTGAGGAAGTATTGGTTGAATACTCCCCAGCCTTAAAATTAAGGAGGAAGTAAAAAATCAAAAGAAAAATCAGTTCTACCTTTTATTCCTTCATTCCTTGGACTTTGAGGCTTTAAAGCAGATTGACTTCTCTGCTCCAAGGCTCCCCTCCCCCTTTTCTGTGACAGAATGAAAATTTCAGATCAGTGAAGCCTAAGGATGTCTAGAATTCATGGGATTGGTCCCCTAATTAGGCATGACTGAAAGGAACAGCAGACCAAGTGGGTTCTCTGCCTTACCTTTGTGTTTTTGCTGTTAACTGAGAACCAAGAACTCTTAGCTCATGAGCTGGTATCTGATAACTGAATTTTTAGTCACTGGGGAGTATAGGGAGCCCTGGTGGTGCAGTGGTTAAGAGCTTGGCTGCTAACCAAAAGGTCGACAGTTCGAATCCACCAGCTGCTCCTTGGAAACCCTATGGGGCACTTCTGCTCTATCCTATAGGGTCGCTATGAGTTGGAATCGGCTCAACAGCAATGCGTTTGGTTTTTTTTGGGGGGGGGGGCTTTAGGGAGTATAGAGTTAGAAGTCTTACTAAGTTCAACGTGAGAGAAAAAAACATCTGTCTTCCTGACCTCATGCGGTTCTGAGAGAACTCTGCTTTCTGAGATTTAGTCAGGCAATAAAATGGTCCCATTCCTTCTCTGTCTTTATTTCTTCCTAAATGGAACAAAACCCTCATTAGCCAGACTGTTTTGAAGGGTAAAATCCTGATAACAGCCTCCTTTGCCAAGAAATTGCCAAGGAATTGGAGTCACACAAACTGTTGGTTATGGATACTCCAGAAGAGACAGGCTGTACATGGGATCTGTGTATAACATAACACCACAGAAAGTGTGAGAAGTGAGACTTCAACACAAATTTGAATGCCTACTATTTGTCAGGGATGTGCCTGCCGGTGAACAAGACAGGCCCAACCTCAGGCCTTCTGGACCTTAGAGACTAGTGTAGTGTTTCTTAATTGTAGACTTTTGGCCTTTAGAGTGGGACAGTTCGTGGTTGTACAGAACTATCCTACTTATTGCTGTCCTTCGCCCAATAAATGTCTGTAGGGCCCTCTAGTCATTGGGACAACCAGAACCTGCCCTTATACATTTTCAAGTGTGGGAGCGGTGATACCACTCTTATCAAGAACCACTGGTTTAATGGGAAATACAGTTTTTAAAAATCACCCTCATTCTGCTCCTACTACAACAATTATTTTTGGCTCCTCCCTACTAGGCTCTTTTTACACGTGTATGCTTTCTGTTTTGAAAGTGTACATAAAGTGGAAGTACTACTGGGACCATCCTGGCCCCCAGCTTCTGGGTAGAACCAGGAAAATCCTAGGCCAGAAAGCAAGATGCTTGAGTCAGCCCACAGGTGTAAATTGATTTTAAGACAGGAAAGTACCTTTTCAGGCCCCTTTGAACACTGTTAGTTACAGTGCTAACACTTGGGAGACCATTTAGAAACAGACTGTAAAACACAGAAAGAAACATGTTTGTGAACTTCAGAGGCCGATACTGGGAGTAGATTGGGACCATCTCCATCTCACTGGTGCCAGTGGTATGGATTTGGAGTCTCCATACCTCTAAGGTGTGCTCCAGGTAGAGAACACACAGAAAGCCAGTGGACTGGAGCACTCAACTACTTGCATCAGGAATATTTTGGCTATAAGAAACAGCAGTAGCTTAAATAAATATTGGATTATTTTTCTCACGTCATAAACAGTCTGGCCATGAGCAGATGTGGCTTGATGTAGCTGGGGTTTCTGAGTTTCTCTTAATGCTGAAATATGGTTTCTGCAGCTCCAGTCATCACATCCATGTTCAAGAGAAGAAAGAAAGTAAAAGTTTTCCCAGAAGCCTTCAGCAGACTAGTCCTTACATCTCATTGGCTAGTACTTGATCATATGATCACCCCTAGCTGCAAGGGAGGCTGGGAAAACAGAACAAGATAGTCTTGATTGGCTTAGACCAGTAATTTGCCTTCCCCGGGGCTGAGCACACTGTTGACCCTCACAGATTTGGGGTTCTGTTAGAAAAGAAGGCAAAATAGAATATTTATTGGCTAGGCTGCTAAGAGGAGTCTGTCATATAACACCTACGAGAAGAAGCATTAGAAGGTCTAGAATTGAGTGGGTGCAGGGCTATTTATCCCAGTATACTTTTAATAATATTGTGTTGAATGCTTTTACAGAAGAGCGTTCACCTGCTCACTTTGGTTTGTCCCACATCCCGATTATTGTAAATGGATTTCGTCTACGCCAACTGCATTCCTTCCTTTGCCCTGTTTCACTTATCTCAGTTTCTCAACCCAGGAAGTAAACACCGTGAAGGAGGTGTTTTTTCTCCTGCAAAATGCTGTCCTACCAACTTGTCAGTCTGATTTTTTAATTTTATTCCTCCGTTGGTCTGGGCATCTTTCCACCAACTGACAGACTCTTACTGCCCTCCGTCTGAATTCTCCTTGCATCCATCCTGCCTCCCAGATGCATGTTATATATACCAGCTAGTTAAAAGACTCAAAATTTATTCCTGGTGCTCTACTAACGTCCCCTTTTTCTCTTTCTTCTCCTGTTTTTCCTCTCCTCTCATTTTCCCCTCTCCGTTGCTGCTGCAGAGCGTCTCTACAGCCAACTTGAGCGAAACCGTCTGCTTTCTAACGAGCTGAAGCTAACGCTGCATGATCTATGTGACTGACGGGTGGGCTCACTGATGCCCATTAAACCGAGCTTACCGCTCACGCCACTGACCCGGACCCCAGCACAAAGCTGACTGCCTTTTGAAAAGTTATAATTTTGCCCTAAGCAAACCACAGCACTAAGCTGCTTTTTAATCGGGGCCATTAGAATATTTCCTGATACTTTCTAATGTATTTTCTTTTTTAAGCTTCTTATAAGTTGATTTCCTCACAGCATTGTAAAGTTGGGACAGTCAAGACATGCATTTATATCCCTTTTCAAGAGATGATGGGTGATGAAGGGAGGGACCCGAGAGAGCTGCAGTGCTAACACTCGGGAGGGTTTGCTGTTTGCTATCTTTCTTCTTTCACTTGTGCACTGACTGTAGGATGTGTTCCCAGCATGGACGTTTTCTAACAATAAAAGGACTGACTTGACAAGATGTTGTAACTGCTTCATCGGCAGGCCCAGGGATGGGCCCTTTTGACTGGGTGGAAACAAAGGGAAGGGAAGGAAGAGGGTGTGGGGTGTGAGGGTCTGTGTCACCGTCACCTTCTCAGAGCTGGAAGATTTGTTCTTCCTGCCTCCCTCAGAGTAGTCAGTGGTTTCCTTGCTGGGCAGGTTAGATTCTCGTTGATGTCCAGCTGGTGGTTTTCTTCCTGATATTTTCCCTCTAGCTTCCTTTTTCTGGTTTTGTGCTTAATTGCAAGTAGTTCTGTTACAGGCTAGTTGTGGACAATAAAACCAACAGAGAAAAATAAACCAGCTGCTATCACATCAGTTCTGACTCATGGTGACCCCATGTGTCAGGAGAACTGTGCTCCATGGGGTTTTCAATGGCTGATTTTTCAGAAGTAGATCCCTGGGCCTTTCTTCCAAGGTGCCTCTGGGTGGGCTCAAACCACCAACCTCTTGGTTAGCAGCTGAGGGCTTAAATCGCTTGCACCACCCAGGGACTCTAGTTCTGGACAGTAGCTCTGCAAAAATCTCAGTTAAGGTTTTGCTTGCAAGTGTATGTCTGGGTGGTGTTTGTGGCTTTGTTTTGTTTAGAGAGGGTTTGACTTAGCCATGGGGTTGCTCTTGTTTCCCCAGCCAGTTATTCCTTTCTCCTCTGCTTTTGAGAGAGAGCCTGTAGTACACGAAGCTCCTCCTGTACTCTTTTCAAACTGAGATTCTGGTGTTTACTGGTAGCAATATGCCTGTCAACCCCAGTGAGCCATTTCTACTAGGCATTTTCTTGTGGGCAAAGCCTGAAGAGTGGATGGCTGAAGTTTAAGGCCTGCTCCTTCAGCGACTGAAAGCTGAAAGCCTTGGTTGGGTGTGGGAGGGAGAGGAAGTGACTGATAAGGTCCCCAGCTCCCTCCGCCAGGAAGTAGGGCAATACCTACACGTTCAGAAGGCAAGCCAGTGGCCCTGCAGAACCCTGCAGAACCCAGTGAGAAAGCGGCTGCTTTATTCGTCTCCATCTTCCCCGCAGCTGGAGCAATTCTCAGAGAGGGGGCAGAATTTGCAGTTTGCTTCTAGTGTGTGTAACTTCTCTCCTTTACCCCCATTAGATAAACTGAAATGCACCAAAGAGGAACACCTCTGTACACAAAGGATGCTGGACCAGACTCTGCTGGACCTGAACGAGATGTAGAGCACCTCAGTCCCGCCCTGCCGCTGCTCCTCCCTTTGACCCCAACTTCGCCTGAGGCCAGCCTGCCCGAAGCTGACCTTTAAACTGAGGGCTGATCTTTAACTGGAAGGCTGCTTTCTCCTCTCTCCATCCACCCTCCCCCAAATCCTGTCTTTTTTTTTTTTTTTTTTTTCCTGCCAAACTGTCTCTGCCTCTCCCCAGAGATCCCGACTGGGCTAGGGGCTGAGCACCTTTGGGAACAACATTTAAGGGAAACTGAGCACAGCAGCGCGAATGTCTTTAGAAGCCTGTTGTGATGTCCACATTCTGTAATTACCTTTGTTGTGGTCGTAGCAACCGTTTGTAAAACATTCCAAATAACTCCACGGCTCTGAAGCAGCAATCTAATCCCTTTCTTACTTTCGGAAGGTAACTTTTCAGCTTAGTGCATATTGCCCTCTCCATAGAGGAGGGAAAGAGGTATGAGCCCGCCTTACTGAGAGCTGAACACAGCCAAGGGAAAGACTCCCCTGTGGGAACCCTCATTGGTCTGTACAAAGCACCAGCCAAACCGGGAAGGTGATTCCAGGAGGAGTTTAGCCAAAAAAAAAAAAAAAAATTTAAAAAGCGCTGTTCAGGTTTTCAGCTTTAAGGTATCTTGGAGCAAGGTGATTTTTATTTTATTTTTTTTCATCAGAAGCGACCAAACTAATATGATGAGACCTCTGTCCGAGACCAAACCATTGTCCCATCCTTTCTCTACCCCCTTCCCAACTACTCACAGAATGGATCATGGGCCCCTTTGTTGGGGTGACGACTTATTTGCTCTCCTGCCTCCTTTTTTAAAAAGACCGAAAAGAAAATGACGTTTTTGCCACTGATTTAGCCATATGAAACTCATCTCGTCACCCTGTTCTGGGTCTGAAGCTGCTGTCTGTCACAGTGCCATCTCAGAGTGCTTTGTATCAGCCAGTGCTGGAGAAATCTTGAATATCTGATGTACAAAACTTTTTTGAAATTTTCTATTATTTTGCAACTTTGCTTCTTTGGGGTTGGGGTGCACTGGCCACCCCATCTGGCTGTGAGTTCTCTCTACAGTCTGTAGGCTGGCAGTGTGCTGATCTTTTAAAATTCCCTCCCCCACCCAGCTCCCCCTTTTTGGTGAGGTTTCTGTGAGGTATGTTAGGTGTGCATCCTGCAGCTTATTGGCTTAAAATGTACTCGTTTGGTGTGGTCTCTTCTGGGGGCCAACGAGGAGAAAGAGAAACCAATAGTGCAACTGTTTTGATACTGAAAATTGACAAGTGTCTTTTTGAAATAAAGAACCAGTCCCTCCCACCCTCTGACCTGCTTGACTTTTATTTACTAAATCAAATGTGCTTTTTCCAGAGGGGCTGTAAGGTTTGGATGAAAAACTAGATTTTTGTGGGTGGTAACAACACAATTTAGTGGAGTGCACACACTTTGAAAGCAGACCAAAACTGGGTTCAAAACTAGGCTCTGAAATTCCTAGTTGTATGTCTTGATATAAACCATTTAGTTTCATCTGTGAGATAAAGATAATATGTATCATCAGGGTAATTCTGAAGATTAGAAATAATACTTATATCCCAGGTCTCTTAAACATCTTCAGGTTGAAGTATACATTTACTTTTAGAACCATATTCTTTCTTATAAACTATGGATTTAGGCTCAAGCATAACAACGTTTGTGAGGATGGCACAGAACTGGGCATTGTTTCGTTCTGTTGTACATAGGGTTGCGCTGACTCCATGGCACCTAACAACAACATACTTCTTAAACAATATATGATACTGAGCACATTGTGTGTGGTTTTAATAAACTTCCCTGATAGAGCCTTTGAATTAATATTCTGTTGGATATTTGGAGAAAACAAGTTAATTTAACAAGACGTGATCTCACAGTATTTGCTTGGAGACTGGCTATGTGTGAGTGGATAGCTTTCAGAGCTTCCTTTGAGACACCAGTGCCTGGCATTTCCGGTTCCTGGCCTTGAGGCCAGATATGAATCTGACTTCCTAGTAAAGTTAGTTTTTGTCGGTACTAGCGACACAGGTTCCTTGACGAAGTGCAGCTGTTTATACTAGAGACTGGAAATTTTTCCATTTAATAAGTACAGACCAATGCTGACTGGAAATTATTACCAAGAAAAAGGGGAAAAAAATTTTTTTTTTTTTTTTGGCTAGGAGCCAAATGCAAGGTAAGCAAAGAAAATTAAACTGAGGAAAAATTGTAATTTTTAGACTTTTCTGCCTGTGACTTTAAAAAGATCTGCCATCCAGTTATTTTGGAAAGTAGTCCCTTAAGCAGGTAGCTGGGTTTGTTCCTATCACTTGTTGTTTGCACTTGTCGCATCTGTGGTTTTGGTAACTGGCCTCCTTGGGAAGGAAGAGGGTCAATGTTTTATAGCTGGAAAAGAAGAAAGCAGCAAAAGGGCCCTGAAAACATCCAAACAAGATACTTTGAGCCCCCTAGATGCAAAATGGCGTCCACATGCTTCTAGTCTAGCCATGCTTTCTCAGTTCATTCTAAAAGTTCCCATGATGTTCGTTCGCTCAAAAAAAAAAAAAAACCCACTGCCATAGAGTCGATTCCAATTCATAGTGACCCTATAGGACGGAACTGTCTTTTCCGTTAGCAGTCATACCTCTTAACCACTGCGCCACCAAGATTTCCTCCTTCGCTAAAGCGCTTAATTAAAAAAAAAAAAAAAAAAAACTTCCCACAATTCCGAGTCTGAGGGCAGTCCGGGCCTCCGCTGACGTTACGCCTTGCGGATTGGCTGAAGTCGTGCTGAGGGCGTGGCCAGTGGTTGGGCGGGAACCTGAGATCCGGTGGTCGCCATGACTGGCTCTGTGGTGTCCAGGCCCCGAGGCTTAGGGCTGTTTTTCTGCTTACCTCTACATTATCTGTTGCTGCTTCTGTTTTTGCTTGGGGCCCTGGCAAACAAACTTAACGTTCCACAGGTGTTGCTACCCTTCTGCCGGGAGCCAGGCCGTGTACCCTTCCTGCTGGAAGCTCAGCGGGGCTGCTATACTTGGTGAGGGATGGAGAATCACGAGGATATGCACCCCCACACCATCCAATAACGGGGTGGAGGGGTTCACTCTGTAAGCCCTACAAGGAGTGCTGTGTGGTCACTTGGCGTGAAGGGGCCTATCCTGTAACAGGGTAGTGGCCAGACTCTCCTGATGTGGCATGTTCTTTGCATTGTGTGGGATATCCTCAGGTTGTGTGTGTGTCCATATGTGAGAAATTCTCTGGACGTGAGATTAGCCTTTTCATGGTGCGTGTGTTGGCAGGGTTAGTCGCTGTAGGAGCAGCGATTAGGGCACAGGGAAGCCTCTTAGGTGGGGTGGCTACCCCATGTGAGGGGCTTCCAATGTAAACAGGGTGAGAAGGAATTCTAAAGTATGAGGAACTTTTTTTAGGAGTAGAGAGAGACTTGGGGTATGAGATCTTGACTAAATAAGGTGAGCTGTTCAATGTGAAGGGGGTCCCAAAATATAATAGCTAATTACTGAGCACTTAACTAAGCACTCTGCATGTATTAACTCATTTAATTTACAGTCTTACAAAGTAAGTACTATTATTCACATTTTACAGATGAGGGACTGAGCCACAGAGACCATGAAGTGTATGCTTCTTGGAATATGACAAGATTCATCTTGGGTGGAGATGAGACCTACCTGGAATATAAAAATTTCCCTCATTATATGAGGGTATCCACTTGAAGTGTGAGGACAAGGGGTACTCAACTTGGGGATGATGACTTCCTAACTGAGTATGGAAAGATATGACTTCTTGGTGTGAGAGAACCCAAAGATAGGTTGTGAGGTTACCCAAGGTCTGAAGAAACCTAAATAAAATGAGCTCCAAAATATGAGAGTGTTCACTCTCAACCAGTTGCCATGGAGTCAGTTCCAACTCATGGCAACCCCATGTGTGCCAGAGAACTGTGTGCCATTGGATTTTGAAGGCTAATTTTTTGAAATAGATCACCAGGCGTTTCTTCTGAGGCATCTCTGGGTGGACTCGAACCCCAACCTTTTGGTTAGTAGCTGAGTGCATTATTTGTATAACGCAGGGACTCCAAGTTCACTCTGAAGTGGAGTAGATTTCCCTTTACTTTCTGCTAAGAGAAGCAATGAGGTTTATTCAGAATGAAAAGTTTCCCTCCCATTTTATAAGGAAGTATAAGGGAATC